TTTATATCCCCATCAGTGAGAGAGGGCTGCCAGTGCGGAATGCAGCTTAATCCCTGTGAAACCAGTCAGGGATGTGCTTACAGGCCATGCAGTGACCATCTCTCAGCACTCAGACACACAATGAATGATAGGTGCAGCCGTGGAGCAGTTACCAGGAAAGTATCAATGGCATTATCTCACATTCCTCAAGAGATGCTGTTGGACAATTGAACATAAGAACATGTGAGGCGAACATATGATCGAGATACTCTCTACCTTTTAAAGGCAGCTAAAAAGGAACTAACCAGAAATATGAATGCTACAAAGAAGGCAGTTAAACAAAAAGTGGAAGAGCAGCCTCAAAACAGGCCCAGAAGTGCACTCAAAGAGAGAGAGAGACAATGTTTCCAGGAGACCCTCTGAAGGGAATGGCAGCAGAGTGCAAGGAATGTAAATGCTCAGAGTCCAGAGTGTATTTGGGACAGTTTCTTATGACAATAAGATTAGGAAACCTAGCAGGGAGCACGTAATTTTGGACTTCATAAAGTGCAATGAGAGCGATTAATTAAATACCTCATTGTAAAGAATCATCTATGTATTCGTGATCATGCTGAGAAAAAAATTTCATGTTCAGTTTGAGCACAAGTAATATAAATCCATAATTAGTGTCTTAAATAGAGGAAATTACAAATGGTGCGAAGACAGAATTGGCTAAAGTGGACTCAGTAAATAGGTAAAAGGAACAACAATACAGAAGCAATGGCAGATATTTAAAAAGATATTTCATAACACTCAACAAACAGATATTGCATTGAGAAAGAAAAACTCTAAACAGAAAGATGGTTGACAGTAGCTGATGAGAAAGTATGGTATTGAACTGAGAGAAAAGTGAACAATACTGTGAAGATTATTGGTCACTCAGATGGCTGGGAACATTTAAGAAACTAGTAAAAGGATGACTGAAAATAATAAAGAGGCTGAAATTAAGTAAGAGAGAAGAAAAATAAGCAACATAAAAGCAGTAAAAGAAAATCTCTACAAGTACATAACAAGTAAAAGAGCAGCTAAAGTAGCTCTTTGGTCCTTGAGAAGGTGAGGCTGGGGAGTCACTAATGGGAATTGTGGGAATGGTAAAGGGTTCAAAACAAGTATTCTGTCCCTGTCTTCACAGTGGAAGGGATCAACATTATTATTGTCAAATTTACTAAATGTTACAAATACAGATAGGAAAGCAGATTGTGACAAAGATACAATGAGTCCATGTAGTGATATGGATAGGTTAAGTGAGTGGGCAAAAAAATTGACAGACGGATTATAATGTGGGAAAATGTGAGGATGTCCACTTTGCACAAACAGAAAGGCAGAATATTATTTCAATAGAGAGACTGCAGAATGTTGCAGTACAAAAGAACCTGGGTGTCATGTACACACATAAGAAAAGTTAGCATATAGTATAGAAAGCAATTAGAAAGGCAAATTGAGTTTTCCTTGGCTGTGGAGGGGATAACTAAGTATTGCTATAACCGTGCAGGATGTTGGTGAAACAACTCCTAGATTCATCATCTAGATATGTTCTCACAAGTAGCAACAAGGGAAATTTATCTGGGAGAGAAATTAGGGGACACGATCAGTCATGATCTCATCCTCATCTCATGTAATCTCTCCTTCTTTCAAACAGACAGCATTTTACTACTTTTTGTCTTCTGATTTCATCCAAGTGGGATAGAAGTGAGGTGATATGACAGACAATGCTGTTAAAGGAAGGTGGAGGGATTTAGGAACAAGAGATGTTGAGTGAGGGGATTTGATGTTTGATGACTGCTACTGTTTCTGAAGCAACTGCTAAGCGCTGGGGCAAAGCCTAGGTACAGCACTGTCTGAAAAACAGAGACCTGTGACCGTGCCTGCAAGAATTTGCAAATGTTTTTGAATAATTGAAGCCAAAAGGAGTTTTTGCCATTATGGAAATTTCTATACGGTGAGGCCTGAAAGCTAGAAGCAAGTGTATTACAAAAAGAAAGCCAGAATTCAAAACAGAATAGGGTAACAGGAGTGAGACAGTCACACAAGTGGCCTTCATTAAATATATCAGATATTGTTATAGATTTTAAAGCTTGCCATAAAGGTGCAAGTTCATGAAGCTAGAAAGGATAGTAGAACTAGCAATTATTGTATAAACTCTTTCTGCCAGCCTTATATACCCAAAGACACTGAAGATACTATTTTGACTCTTTGAAGGAATGTCACATTGTATGTACATGCTAGGGATTTTATGTTAATTAAAATCTATCCATCATATAAAGGATAATATCAGAAGTGGTGATCATGAAACTACCTGAGTATAATAAAAACACATCTGCTTCAGAAACGTCCCTCAGGAAAGACAGCCTGACATCCCTATCCAGTCCAACCCACATATGTCTCCAGATCCAAAGCACGAGACTTCAAAGGAGATTTCCATCCCATTTATTCTGTGACTGGACTTTTATTGTTTTGTGGTGGATATGCCAAAGCTGTTCCTGTCCTATCCACATGAGTGGTTATTCACAATCTGATGATTGTGTGATATTTCTAAAGATTAGTTAGACCATGACACACTCTGGCCAATTTTGATGAGAAATTCTGATAACTGTTCAAAAACCAAGTCTTTCCACCAAAAAGGAACAAGCATTTTAACTGTGAGGATTCATCTAAATGCCTCTGGTTGTCTTCCCACATTTTCTGGAGAGTTGTAAACTGCTGGGAGTTTGTGATGGAAAAGTTGGGGGAGTGGGGAATGGCACAGTTGGGTGAAGACTGCAAATGGCAAGAAGATTGAGAGGCGAGGAGAGACATGGATCTGGATTCACATGTAGGCCAGACCAGGGTGAGAATGGCAACTTCACTCCCTAAAAGGACATTTGTGAACCAGATGGGGTTTTTATGACGATCGACAATGGATTCATGGTCATCATTTGACCCCTTAATCCCAGATTCTTTATTGAATTCAAATTCCACTGTCCACCATGGCAGTATTTGAACCCAAGCCGCTTGAACATTAACCAAGTATCTGTACTAATAGTCTCGCGATAATACAACTAGGCCATTGGCTCCCTGTGACGTGCAATAGTTAGTGATTTGGATGTGATAGTATTTTCATATCCCTGGTGCTTCCCTTCTTCTGTGTTGGAGGTTGTGGGTTTGAGGCACTGTCAACAAAGGGCTCTTCAAATTCCTGAAACCAAACTAGAGCTTATGTTGACATATTCATTGGTTGTGCAGAGGAAGAATAAGAGAAGCATTCAATTCATCAATCCCTCCTTAAATATATGGTTCAACTCCACATTTCCTGTTTATTATCATAAAGGTGTTAAAGTTTCTCTAGAATTTAGAAGGTTTAGGGATGATCTCATCGACACCTTCAAGATATTAACTGGAAAAAATAAAGGTAGATAACTCGAACATCATTTCCACTGGTTGGGGATTCTAGAATTAGGGGACACACAGAATTAGGGCCAAACCCTTCAGAAGTGATGTTAGGAAGCACTTCTACACACCAAGTGGTAGAATTTGGATCTCTCTTCCACAAACAGTGGATGCTGGATTAGTTGTTAATTTTAAATCTGCCATACATAATTTTTTGTTAAACATAGGTATTAGGGGATCCGAGTCAAGTAGATGGAGTTAGGCTACAGATCAGCCATGATCTTAATGAATTGTGGAGCAGTCTCGAGGGGCTGCATGGCCTACTCCTGTTCCTATGTTTAATGGGGGGGCTGCCTTATGAAGAGAGATTGGTTCAACTGGGCCAGTAATTATGAGAGTTTAGCAGAATGAGAGGAGATCTGAATGAAGCGAATACAATTCTAACAGGGTTAGACTAACTAGAGGGAGAGAGGAAGTTTTCTCTGGTTGGGTCACAGTCTCAGGATATGGAGTAGACCATTTAAGACTGAGATGAGGAAATATTTCTTTATCCGGGATGGTGGAACCTGTGGAATTCACAGAAGCTTTGGAAGCCAGATCACCGAGTACATTCAAGATACTGGTATCTTTTCAGATATTGAAGGCATCAGGGCATATAGAGAGAATGCAGGTAGAGGATCATGATTAGAATAGAGTCGTAGAGATATACAGCATTGAAACAGACCCTTTTGTCCAACTCATCCATGCTGACCAGATATCCAAAATTAATCTAGTCCCATTTGTCAGCATTTGGCTCACGTTCCTCTAAACCCTTCCTATTCATATACCCATCCAGATGCCTTTTAAATGTTGTCACTGTACCAGTCCCCATCATTTCCTAAGGCAGCTCATTCCACACATGCACCGCCTTCTGCATGAAAAAGTTGCCCCTTAGGTCCGTTGTATATCTTTCTCCTCTCACCTTAAATCTATGTCCTCTCTCCCACCCCGGGAAAAAGACCTTGTGTATTTACCCTACACATACCCCTCATGATTTTGTAAACCTGTATAAAGGTCACCCCTCAGCCTCTGACGCTCCAGGGAAAATAGCCCCAGCCTATTCAGCCTCTCCCTATAACTCAAACCCTCCAACCGTGGCAACATCCTTGTAAATCTTTTCTGAACCCTTTCAAGTTTCAGAACACCGTTCCTAATAGCAGGAAGAGTAGAATTGAACACCGTATTCTAAAAGTGGCCTCACCAATGTCCTGTACAGCTGCAACATGACCTCCCAACTATTATACAACAGGCTCAAAGAGCTGGATAACCTATTCCTGCTCCTTTTTAATGTTTCTATGTCTCACAAGCTATACTCTGCTTGAGATCAGCTAATGCAGCTTAGACCAGTAATAAAATATTGAACCTTCGTCAATTTAATCGAAAGAGCGCCTTTTGTTATGAGCTATAAGTTAGATTTTCCTATCAGCAGAGAAACAATATTTTGGAAACATTGAGTTATACACTGATATGTCGGCGATCTTTGAACACAAAGAAACAACAGTTTGGAGCAAAATAGATATGGTTTTTAATTTCGCAGTGCCCGAAAAGTTCACATTATTTTTTTAAAAAATCATTACCTGCATTCCATATTTTGCATCAACAACAGAAATAATACCTATAAAAAAGGTATGGAAGAAATATTTTAATTATTTTCATGCCAGGATTTGGTGATCAATTGTGTAAGAGGAAACTTTCAGGAGTATAACCTCTGAACTACTTTCAAATAGCATTACTTTCCAGTCCCCCTTTCTCCCATATGATAACAGGAACAATGTTTGCTTTATAGTCAAAATACTTTGAACAATGCAGTGCAACAGGAATGGGCCAATGGTCGTGGCCGCATATATGTGAAAATTACTACTTTTGCTCAAATAATATCACTAGCAGAATTATCTGTAGAACACTTTAACATTTAAAAAAGTAGCATCATGAATATTGTTTGAAATAGGCAAGTCAGTGATTATGCTCAGAGCTTTGTAAACAAGTTCTAATGTCTTAGTAGGTTAACAATGAATTACAGAATGGCAATCAAGAGTGTGCATGGAAATGATTTCAATATCATTACATGTCAATGCATTTCCGAGAGCACAGTAGTGGCACTTTCGATTCTATATCAGGAACGTGAGCAAGTGTACTCAGCTGACACCATCCTGCAGTACCAAAGGAGCGTCGTTTTGTCACAGGTACCATGTTCCAGATGAAACAACAATGCAAAAATCCCAGAACAGTCAACCAAGAAAACGGGAGTCTTTTTCTCTTGGTATCTTATCCAATACTTATCTCTTAATCAACGATACTAAAATAAACTATCACTCATCCGTCTTGTTGCTGTTCACATGACAATCAGTTGCTGCATTTGATGTGCAATGGTTGGTGACTTGGATATGATAGTATCATGCTGCCTCTGTCCTACTGTGTTGGAGGTGGTGGGTTTGAAATGCTATCAAATAAATTTTTGTGCATTTTTGCAATGCATTCTGTGGAGAGTACATATAGCAGACATGCGTATTAGGGTGGCAGCTGTTTAAAGGTGAAGGATGGGCTGCCATCAGGGTGATTCCCCTATGGTGCTTACTTTTCAGTGCTATCACAGTTGTATTTATCCAGGCAAGTAGAGAATATTCTATTGCACTGTTGACTTGTGCCTCACAACAACCTCTTCTGTTTCCTTTACCTTCTCTAAATAGTCAGATTACAAGGACGCAAGTGATTTTCTTTGCCCCATACTCAGTTTTGTTCCCTGGTTACCAACTCCATCCCTTTCCTTATGAGCGGTCTGAGATTTAATAACTAACTGACGCTAATCCTATTATCACTCCTGCACAGGATGTAGGCATCCCTGGCTCGGCCAGAATTTATTGCCCATCCCTAATTGCCTAGAGGGCAACTAAGAGTCATTGCTGTGGGTCTGGAGTCACACGTAGGCCAGACCAGGTAAGGATGGCAGCTTCTTTTTCTAAAGAATATTAGTGAATATGATGGGTTTTTCCAACAATGGTTTCATGGTTATCACTCAACTGTCCATTACTGAATCCAAATTTAACCATCTGCCATGACAGGATTTGAGCTTAGGTCCCCAGAATATTAGCCGAGTTTCTGGATTAATAGTCAGTAATAATACCACTATGCCATTGCATATATGTTAAAATCACTTTCTTCCTCAAATAATATCACTAAAAACACTGCAATATTAAAAAACAATTAGCATCATGAATATTGTTTAAGATAGGCAAATCAATGATAATGCTCAGAGCTTTAGAAATCCATTCTAATGTCTCTGTAGGTTGACAATGAATTACAGAATAGCAATCAACAGAATGTTCATGGAATGGACTCAGTCTCCTTATAAAAGGATTAAACCACTAAATTATTGAAGCCTTTTTCAGCCTTTCCGATTCATGTTGAAACTTCAGAATATTTCAGTTTTGTTACAATAAATGGATACAGAAATCATTTACAATCCTACCATCAAGATAAACGTCACTCCCTAATTCTGCATCAACCCAAAACATGGCGGAAACAGCACCTGTGGGGAAAAAGAAGGGGCCTGATGATGACGACATAAAGTTATTACTTCTTTAATTATAAAAATGCAGCTGCATTGCAATGAGATGGTTCCAGAAAAGATCAATGATTATTTTACTTCTTTTCACCTCACTTCTCATTTTGAATATTATTCTATTTCTGCTCATGCAGTTCAACCAATGAATTTAAAAGGCACACAAGTTCCATAGTTCTTTAAATCTTCTTTCTCCAAGACATAAATACCACATTCCCTTTACAGAACAGGGATCACTTCACAAAGCTCTGCTGCCTGCAAAAATGACCCAACTTGTGCAGAGGTTGGAAAGTGAGTGAAAGAGAAAAGCAAGACAATCCCATCCGTGCTTAGTGTTAGAAAGACACCACATTGATCATTTTACAATTGTTAAACAATCAACTGTTCCCCTTCCAAAACTGAAATCCTCTGCACCAGAAGCAGCACAGCCCTGTAAACATTATCGCCAATAATGTACAAAGACATAATTACCTTTGGGAGGAATACAGAAAACTGAAGACCCATATTCAGATGATCCCAGATATGGAGGAATCATCTTCTGAGCAAAGGGTAAACAGCTTTTCACTCTGCTCACTGTTGTTTAGAAGAATAAGAGATATCTCATTGATAGATATTGGTTTCTTAAGAGGCTTGACAGGATAAATGCTGAGGAGGATATTTACCTTCTTGAGAGAATCTTTGGACCGGACGGCATAGTCTCAGAATAAAGGGGCATTGATTTAAAACAGACATGGGGAGGAATTTCTTCTTGCAAGTCTTTGGAACTCCTTGCATAGAGAGCTGTGGGATAGAGTACTTCTGTATATTTAAGGTTGGGATAGATAGATTCTGCACCAGTCAGAAATTGAAGAGTTACAGGGCAAACGTAGGAAAGTGGGCATGAGGAACATCAGCTCAATCATGATCCTATTGAATGGCAGAGAAGACTTGGACAATAAACAAGGGCAGGACTTGTACAATTAAAAGTAGGGCTTCGGTAGTGTTGTAGAACAGAGAAACCTAGGGGTTCAGGTACACAATTCTTTGAAGTTTGCATCACAGGTAGACAGGGTTTTAAGAAGGCATTTAGCACGTTTGCTTTCATTGCTCAGATCTTTGAGTATAGGAGTTGGGACATCACCTTGATGTTATACAGGACATTGGTGAGGCCTCTTTTGGAGTACTGTGTCTGTTTCTGATCACCCTGTTATAGGAAGGATATTAGTAAACTGGGGAGGATTCAGAAAAGATTTACTAGAATGTTGCGGGAATGAGAGGTTTGAGTTATAAGCCGAAGCTGGCTAGGCCAGGACTTGTTTTCACTGGATCATAGGAGTTGAAGGGTGACCTTATAGAGGTTCTTAAACTCACGAGGGGTATAGATAAAGTGAATGGCAGGTGTCTTTTCCCTATGAGGGGGGATTTCAAGACGAGGGGCATATATTTAAAGGCGAGAAAGATTTAAAAAGGACATGAAGGGCAACTTTTGTTTTACACAAAGAGTGTCTCATGTGTGAAATGAACTGAGAGAGGACAGTTACAATGTTTAAAAGACATTTGGATAAATAATGAATAAGAAATGTTTGGAGGGATATGGGCCAAGTGCAGGCAGGTGGGACTAGTTTAGTTTGGGATTGTGGTCAGCATGTGGACTGGTTGGACCGAAGGGTTTCCGTGCTGTATAGCTTGATGGCTGTGACTCCAAGTGTAAACACCTTTCACACAGTTTAACAAATGTTTTGAGAACAATTAATAAAATTCTATTCTCTTCATACTAATGTTTACCTCTTACAATTGTCTTTGAAACATCTGCTTGAAGCTTCAGTTGACAGAGTCCCTTTGAAAATAAATATTACCCTGCCTTATATACAGAACCTCCATACAGCAATCCAAAACAAAAAAAGAGTGGATTTAAGTTATCAGTATTTTGGACACAGACTTCAGAACGGTCAGCCATGTTTAGGACCAGAATACAGCAGGAATCGTTTCTTAAACACATTCATTTTAATAATTCTTTTTAAACTCAATGATGTGCTCCATACTGGCAAGCATGCTTCTGTTTGAAATCACAGATTTTCATCTCAGTATTCAAAATAGTGAAGAGGTTTCTCAAACTAAGCGGTGAAACTTGGACCTCCATTGTTTTGCTCACAGCTAACAGCCGGAAAATAAAATCGAAGGATTCAAGGTCAACATTACTTGCAAAAGACGTTGTGACAAGTTTCCACACACACACACACACCTCCCCAAACTGAAATGAGAAAGTGACGCAATGTATTAAAAAAGCTCTCTTACTGTGTGTCAGGAAATAAAAAGTGAAGACTTTTGGATTATAAAATTAAATGGACTACACAAAGTCTGAAGGAATTATACAGCTTTCAAAAAAAAAAAAAGTCATTAAAAATCACAATTTTCTGACATGTCCTGAGGTGACAGCTGTTGGTAAACCACAAATGATAAAAAAAGTATTTTTGTTTTTTGAAGAATAATGACATGCCTGGCTGACAAAATGAAATACTTGAGGGAAATAAAACACTGATAACTGAACTCATTTTTTCAATGTCCAAACCTTTCTACCTGAACTGACAAGATACTGGCCTGCCATATCATTCCCTGTTGGCAGTGGAAGATCTGTCAGTTTTTCACAATGCTTGCTCATCCGAGATGGAATATAACCCAAAAACTCTAATGACTACCTGATCTGTATTGATTTATTTCCCCAAGCTTAATAGTTTTTCTACTTTGTGAAATGGAATTGGTAAGCTACAACATTCAAATCAATGCCCTTTACTTCAACAGAATGTACCATAGCACGGCAATTACTCTCAGAATTCTTTTCTTGCCAAGTTCTCCGTAAGGAATTACCAAGGTGGCAATGAAAATCTCAAAATACACTTTTGATTTAAAAACAAACCAGGCTTTTGCTTTACTAGAATGAATAACCATCCTCTGTGCGTGCTAAAACTGTGCTAAAAATAACTTCTTCTGAATTCACAGATTATAGGCCTAATTTTTTAATATCTCTCCATTCTCCAAGAGTGAAAGGTTCTAGTTTCAGGCTATTAGGGAGGTTGGCATCAGTGTGGGATGAAATACAAACATTAAGCTTTGAAAAATTGGATATGTTTCCTCATTACAGCCGTTTCCTGTCAGAATTGAAACACCGTATTGGTTATGCCTTCCAGAAGAAGTTTACTGTCCAATCTGATAGCTATTAAGTGTTATCCAATGGGGCTGCAGATCCAAGGTGCAGAGATCCTGTGACTCTTGGCATCCTTGTGAAGATCGCTGTCTCTCAGACAGCAGCTCCCAGGAGTCACCCTCAGAGTACTACAGCTACATACAGTGGTTAGCACTGCCCAGGTGCCTGGGAGCATCAGCTGGAGATGTCACCATCTCAGGGAAACAGTCATGAGGAGTCAAGGCAGGGCCTACCCAAGCAGGGTTCCAGCCCATACAATGCCTGCCACAGTACATCAACCAAGTGTATAGCCACAAGGCAGCATTAAACCCTTGTGTTTTTCCCAAACAGTGAGTGCGATCTCAATGACAACCTCTCCACTCTTGTCAATCTGCCCAATCACCATGCCCACCAACTCTGGCACTCTAACAGTTCTCTCTGAAACCTGAGTTGTGCAGTGCAAGGGGGCAATACCTATCTCTGGAAGCACTGACTGCAGGGCTACAACAAGAAAACGACTGGCAGAGTCAGGACTGAACAGAACAGAAAGCATGCTACCAAGAACAAGAATTTCTTGCCTCCAAATTAAAGAAATCCTTTGTGTAGGATGCACCAGTACCTTTCTCTTTTCGTTTTACTTTGGGGTTTGATCATATTTCTGCTAAGGAAGCGGTCAGTCAAATGTCTGAACTTCACTCGAGTGATGTTTCCTGGCAAAGTTCTATCCAATGAAGGTGGACTGTTGCGGTGTCGTTTAGTAAAGGCGGGGTGAAGAGGTTAAGCTCAGGTGCTGCAAAGAAATACAACAGAAGCTATATGCTGATGCCTCAAGTGACAGGATTGCCTGCAAAAACAGGCTGTGCATCTTGAAAATAGCAGCCATTCCCTCTCACATCAACAGCTGTGTGTGTGCGTGATGACACCCATGAGAATCCAGTTATCCCTCAGAAATCTCTCAATCTATGCTGCTTGGCGATGATGACAAAGAGAACAAATTTAGCCGCTCTATGAAAGACAGGGTCTGACACCTTAGCGTACATGACCATCAGCTCTGAATGACATACATTGTCAGCTGGTGCCACTTTAATTATCAAGGAAAGAACATTTGCCTCAGGCAAACCATGGCTGGTGATAACATTCACGATTCACATCTTCCGAAAGCACAGCTTCTTGGACAGGTACCACATAACTGATACGCCACACTGCCTGCTTCACCTGACCACACTTTGTATTTTTGTTCTTTCACAGGATCTGGGCATTGCTTGCTAGGCCAGTATTTAGTGCCCATTCCTAATTGCCCTTGTGAAGATGAAGTTGCCTTCTTGTATGGCTGCAGTTCAGGGTGTGCCAATACCTCACAGTGCTGTGAGGGAGGGAAGTCCAGGATGATGGCCCAACGACAGTAGAGGAATGGCAATGCAGCTCCAAGTCACAAAACATTATGTAAGCTTTATACAGAGCATGTACAAGGTGGTGTTACCAGCTATCTGCTGTTCTTGTATGTGGTGATGGTCACAGGTTTGCGAGATGCTGTTGAAGGGGGCTTAGCGATTGAGCGTATCTTGTAAATGGTACATGCTGCAGTCACTGTGTGTTGACAGGTGGAGGGAGTGAATGTGAAAGGTAGTGCCTGGGCTTCCAATCAAGCAGGCTGCTTGACCCCAGGTAATTTTAAGTTTCATGAGGGGCAGCAGGAGTTGCCCTTAACCAGGTAATTGGGGAGTATTCCATCACACTCTTGACTTGTGCCTTGTAGATAGTGGACAAGCTTTGTGGAGTCAGGAGGTAATTTAAAGTGCAGTTCAGACTCTGTTCAATGGTAACTCTCAGGATCTTGATCATGGCTGAATTCATCAATGGTAGTGTCATTTAATGTCAGGGGGCAATGGTTAAAATCTCTTATTGGGAGATATTCATTGCCTGGTACTTGTGTGGTATCAATGTTGCCACTCATCAGACAAAGCTCTGATATTATTCGGAACTTGAAGCTTCTGAATATGGATTGCTTCAAGAATGATGATGAGCATTGTGCTATCAGCAAACATCTCCACTTCTGACCTCATAAATGGAGGGAAGATCACCGCTACAGCAACCTTTCCCTTACAATGGCATGGAGTATCCTGCCATAGGGACAGTCAGTTCCTGTCCAAAAACTTGACACGAGTGAGATTTAGAGGATTGAGGAAATTAAGGGTTCCAAATTATTTTTCTGGGAAGGAATCTAAGCTCTCCAGCAAACTGAAATCCAGGTGTCAGCATTTAAAGAGGAAAACATTTGAAAGCATGTAACTTCTGCCCAGTTCAGCTGACCAACTCCTGAGAACATTAGGGAGAGTTGCTGGGGTGATTTTCTTTGCCCATAAGTTACACCGGTTGTAAAAACAGTGCAAATCAGGATCTTTCTATATCCTTCACAACTACAGGTAAGCAAATATGATGTGAAGGGTTTAGACTGACATAAGATTGGCACTGTTAAAGTGATTAAACTAAAAATCACTCTGCACAATAACCTAAGCAGGATATTGTGATTTTTCCTCAATATTTTTCAGCACTGCAGTCAACTCACAACACATAGAACACAGAACATAGAACATAACAGCGCAGTACAGGCCCTTCGGCCCTCGATG